AGCAGTCTTCGTTCTGTTTCCTTGTCTTCCTTCCAGTCAGTCTTCCTTCTGTTCCCTTGTCCTTCCCTTCACAATTTAGGACTCCTGAGAAAACATAATAATTAGAGAATTGTGGAATTGTACTGGCTTTAAAAATTATCTTAGACGAGTATCATCAGTACACACAAACAGGGATGGATGTTTCCTAGTGCTCTTACAATTGAGCTAGCCTTCTGAGAGGAACATGTAAAACTCACATACCATCCTATCTAGTTTGCCCATCTGTGGCAGAAACTCAGAGGCTGTCCATAGTCATGGGTCTAAATGAACTAGGAACACCAAAAATGACATTTGAGTTATATCTGGGATGCAGATCTATAATGATATATGCATTTATCGGGCAGAATCCTAGTCAAATCAACCATACAATAGTTTATTCTGGGGAATTCTTATCCTCCATTCCTGATATTTTCTTCCACGTGGAGGAGCATCCATGACAAAAACACATCTAACCTCTGTACACACCCACTCCTGTTGTATGGCAAGAATGACTCACATGATGGCTGAGACTGTAAAGAGAAACAGGGAGCCCACAATCCAGGCCATCCCTTTAAGTCTCTTGATGATAGGGACAGACAGATGTGTGTGCTGGGAACATGAGGTTAAGAGACTAATTCTATAAAATGGGTCTAATGTGCTGACCCCCACATGCTTTATTTTCCAAGAAGCAATTTACCTGTAGCCCTGCCTGGCTTAAGTGGACAGGATATGTCACATTCCTTAGCAAACTACTTATTATCTGCAGAAGAAATGCAGGTCTGAAATGATGTCCATGAGAAGAATGCAGGCTAACCTGAAGGGGGAGACTTCTGTGATCTTTATAACACCAGATTCTGGAACTCAGGGAGATAAGATGAATCCAGTTGGAACCAGGCAGCATGGGCCAAAATGACCTCTTGTTGTCATGGCAACAGGGACTTGAAAGTCTGATATTATTCTACTGTCAGTCAAAAGTCAAAAGGTGAACCTTGGTGGGACTCTCTGGAAACTTCTCTGGGATCCCTCAATAAAACTGGAGTGCAAGAGAGGCATGATATCCATTTATTCTCCGAGAGGACCTGCTCGCTCCCTTATCCCCTTTCCCACCTATTCTAATAAACTGATGCCTGTTAATATGAGGGACATGTCTGAAATATTTCTGGCTTTTATGCAAGTATTGGGTTTAGTGGGGGGGGGTCTTTGAACTGCCTTGCTTTCCCAGAGGCCCCATCCCTGCAACATTGTTAGTAAGCAGCCCCTTTAAGAGCACGTTTCTGTTCTGCTCTTCAGGGGTGGCAGGCCCACAACTCTTCTCTTTCTGTGTCTGCCGATTCCCTAACTATTCCTATGGTGTTGCTTTTAAAGGCTCAGGTCTTTAAGGGGCCACTAAATACTCTCCTGTGTCAAGTCTGAGCCTTCCACCAACTGCCATGGTTAACTGTGTCTTCTCAGAGGTGCGAGTCCTTGAGTTCTTAGGAGAGGATTGCTGGCCTGGCCCATGCAGCTCTCTCTGCTTCCTTGTTCCAGGTGTAATCTTGCTCCTGCATATGCTCCTGCCACTGCCATCTGCCATGGGACCTTCACCAGTTCTAATCTACAAGTGTTGTGCATTCAACTTCCAAAACTGTGAGCTAATTCACCTCTTTCTCCTTATAAGTGGCTTGTTTCTGGTGGCTGGGCTCAACTGGGCATTTTCTGCTACATGTGGTGTCTGTCATCTAGTGCTGCTGGCATCTGGAGGCTCCACTCATCTGTTACATCCAGAGAGCTCCCTGATGTGGATGATGGCTGGTCCTGGCATCTGCTTTGAATCCATCTAGGGCTATTGGTTGCATGGAGCACATTGGTTAGACAAAGAGCTCTCCCTATGGAGGGTTGCCTGATGAAAAAGAGGAAACACAATATGAATTCTGGATAAAGAAGGAATAATTTTAGTGAATGTGGAATGTAATGTAATTTTATCTGAAATTCAAATTCAACTAGGTATCTTTTATTTTTATGTGCTAAATCTGGCAACTATAGTGGATAAAGCCTGTGAATATGCAAGTTTATTAACCTTCTGAGAGCACTCTTGCAATCTGGCAGGACAGGGGAAAACAAGCAGATCGGATTGGCACAAAAATCAAAAGCTGGTAGCACTTTTTCTTGGTGGAATAAAGAGGCAATGGATACACTATTGGTGGCAAATGGGTATATCAATTCTCTAAGGCCCATATTGTTATGATGTCATTTATTAAATAGCCTTAAACAAAGAAGTATTAGCTTTACCAACAGGGGAGGATTGGGAAGGGCATCCCAATGTGATTGAGACCTGCCACTTGGTTAAGAGGATTTGCATGATGGGACTCAAGGAGCCATATGAGTTTCTAGCTCTAGAGAGAAAATAAGCTAGAGCTTAGGACCAGATTTTTAACTGAGCCCAATGCTACACTCTTAGGGTATATGGATGCATTTAATCCTCGTGACAGGTAGCACCCTCTTTAGGGATGTGTGTGAATACAAAGAATATACTCCTAACAACGGAGGTAGATGACAAAGAGGTTGTTCATCTCTGGTAGAGGCCTACTACCAGATTCAGGGAGAGAACCTGCCAGCCTGGGCACCTTGAGTTGCTGGTGGCATGTCTGCAGCAAATGTGTCAGGACTCACACTGTAGAAGAGGTTAATCTCTGTTCCCCCTGTGTTTGCTTTCCCTGCAGCAGAGAACCAAGCATGGTGCCCCTTCCCTTTTCTTCAGTGGAGGTTTATTGCAGGGCTGGAGACAGAAGCTGTCTGAAGGCAATGTTTCTTCCACCCTTGAAAGAAACATGAATTTAAAGGAAATAATGAGCTACTGGTATATGGTGGAGAGGGGTAGGGCCTCAGAAGACACAGATAAGAGAGAGAAAGGGGAATTTCTCCCAGACAGGGATGAGTGGGGAGGTCTGAAGGTCTCTTCAGGAGTATGTACCTGAGCACTGCCCCATATCAACACTTGTGGTGACTCTGTGGATGGTCCATCTCAATCATGAGGCAGATTTTCCTGTTTGACTGAAGGGATGGCTGGATGTATTAACTATTTCTCCTTATTTACTGCATACTTGATGATATGGCATCTGAGTCCTTGCTTACAAGAGAAGGAAAGCCCTTCTGAGTTAGCTAATTCCTAGAGCTAGAACATAACTCACCTGGGAGTGTGCCTTTCATATATAAACCAACACATCCAGGCCTTCCCTCAAGCATATATATGGTTTTGAGCTTTTAAACTGCAGGCCAATAATTTCCTGTCCTAATCACCCTAGTGACTGAAACAGAAAAATCATGACAGCTCCCCACCCCATAGCCAAAAGAAATTAAATGTAGCCAGCCCTAAACTTGTATACTTTGATTTCAGTCCCTTCCTGATGAACTCAACATAATAATGTCCTTATCTCCTGTTCTCTCTGCCTCCTGACCTAAACTAGTGCTTCCCTATGTGGACTTGTGTGGCTTGAAGATTCTCTCAACTGTGAGTAGCAAACTCTTCTCCACAGCAGAGGTCTTCTGATCTCCTGGGCTTGCCATACCTAAATAATTATTTTTAAAAAGCTACATTATAAAACAATCCCTGAGGTATAGGGGGCTTGAAGACTCTGAGTTAGCTAGGGAAGTGGCCTTCTCTGCCCTTATCAGGATGGAACTGAAAGCAAATGAAAGAGAAAGCAAAAAGGAAAAGAAACAAAGACAGACCTCAATGGACTAGCAATTCTTTATTAAGTAGCGGAGGGGCACGTTTTCAAGAGGAAAATGGTGACTGGCTACAACAAGGGTCTGAGTTTTATAGGGTTTATTGGGGCCTCATCATGGGAAGAGTTTGTCAGATATTTTTGGCAGGCTTACTTTTGGCAGACAGGGGAACTTTGTCAGATTAAGGAAGTTGCAAAAGGTCAGAGTCCACAGTTTCCTTTTTCCCCCAAGGGGTTGTAAGTGTCCACCTACTTCAGGGATAAGTGAAGACAGGGGACTTTTCCTGCCACATAAGGAAGGTAAATTCCACAGTTGAGATGGCTTAATCAAAGACCATGGAAATTTAACACCATTAATATGGGCTGGGGATGTGGCTCAAGCGGTAGCGCGCTCGCCTGGCATGCGTGCGGCCCGGGTTCGATCCTCAGCACCACATACAAACAAAGATGTTGTGTCCACTAAAAAATAAATATTTAAAAAAAAAGGGGGGGCTGGGGATGTGGCTCAAGCGGTAGCGCGCTCGCCTGGCATTGTGCCCGCCGAAAACTAAAATAAATAAATAAATATTAAAAAAATATATATATATACTATCTAATAAGATTGATCAATTTTTATTAGTGTGCATACAAACATCAGTACAGGTACTGATGAAATAAAATTTGGGGCATGTTATCAGGAAACACTGGTTTATATAAAAATGTTGAAAATATCTTGCAATTTCAAATTTTATCATAGAAATGTGCTACTAAAACACACTACTGATCTCCCTGCAATTCATTTGCTGACTTCTATGAGAGTTTTAGTAGGTTTTTCCTCCTTGCATCCACATCTTTAAAGTTTGATAACATAGAGATACAGGTACTTATTCACTGTAATATAAGGAATATAAATTAATCATATCTTGAATACTTTATATTAGTACAAAATTTTATATTTTCCTGTGGTTTGAAAGGATACTTTCAGGAACTATGTATAAAAATGCTTACAAAAGAGCTGGGTACAGTATAACATCCCTGAAATGGGAAAAAATGGTCATAATAAGAGTAAAGGCAGGGGCTGGGGTTGTGGCTCAGTGGTAGAGCACTTGCCTAGCATGTGAGAGGCCCTGGATGTGATCCTCAGCACCACATAAAAATAAATAAAGGTATTGTGTCCAACTACAACTAAAAAAATAAATTTAAAAAAGAGTAAAGGCAGGTTACTAAGGTAATAAATGTCCTGGTTCTATTTATTCTTATATAAATCTCTAGCTATTCATGAAGAGATCTCAAAGCATAGAACTTTAAATGATCTTTTTATTCCTCTCACATAGAGCTTTCTCTTCAGAACTTTCCATCTGAAGGCTGTCTGTATCCTTGCATCCTGGGAATGTCCCCCTTTCCACAAAAACTTCCAGAAAGTTCTGTAGGTAGTCTTGGGCCACAGCCTCTCCCTCCCATCTACCTACTTAAGGGTGTTCAAGTTGCAGTTCAGAATTCTGTCACCAGGTGGCACCAATGTTCCTCCATCATCAAACCTCTATACAAAGCTGTGGGTGCAAGGAAAAACAAATACAAAAACTGCAATGAAGACAGAATATGAATCCAAGGGAGATCAGTAGCAGAAAGGGAACAGGGGGATAGTGGAAGGGAGAGAAAGGGAAAATACTGGGGAATTATATTGGCCAAATTATACTGTTATATGTGTGCCAGTAAGAATACATAACAAATTCCACCATCTGAACAACTATAATGCACCAATTAAAAAAAAAAAAAAAAAAAAAAAACTTAGAAAAAATCACCTTATGAATCTATGTACAGACTGATTCTATTTCTGCCACAGAAACCTAGTAGGTGTAAAAGAAGACTGTGAAGACATGCTCAGGGGCATCTATAACTTGAAACACCAGGTAGCAGTGGTGGGGCTATAACGAAGTGGCAGAAAGGATGAACTACCTGCATCATGTCTGGGCAGTTGTGTACATAATGTCCTGGAGTGGGGATGACTATGAGAGCATGAAAGAAAAAGGACTGGGAAGCCTATGTAGGGGTGGGGTAATGGAGAGTGAAGGCCTTGTTCTCTGAGAGGGACCCCTCCACAGTGTGAACACCTTAACATACACTAAAATATCCCTCTTTCAGAGAAATCAGTGAATGACATGTAGATTGGGGTCAACAGCAGATGAAACTATTTTAACATACATATGAATTTTTCAAGAAGAACCCATATCATATTAAACAAATTGTTTTAAGACATATAATTCTTTGCAAAATATACTCCTTTCATTATAAAAGAAAAGGCAAAATGGAGATAGATCCCATTTATGTATATTTTTATGTGAATTATCTGTTGAACTTGCTTGCAAATCTGTGAGTATATTTTACAAACCATGAACACTAACCCAGTATCTGAAGTGTAGTTTACCAGTTTCTCCCAAGTTTTCATATAATGTCTGCTAAGGAAGATTTTTTTTTACAATTTCAATAATATTGTGACTTAAAAATGTAACAGACCATACTTTTTAAATATGGTTGAACATCCCAAGAACATGTAATGTCCACCCCCAGGAAGATTAAATCATTCAGAGCCCAGAGGGCATGAAGACCAAATTGGAAGACTTTATGACAATTTAGGAGAACCTGCCCAAAGGAAGATCACAAAGGGTTTTCCTAATTTACTTAAACTCTCCTGAAGCCAGTACCCTGATATGAATAATGATAATAAATAACAGGAAACCTCTGTAGCAGTTAAGATTAAAGGAGATGAAATAGAGTATTTGTTTTAAGCAGTTTAGTTTACATACTTTCCTTCTTTATAGCTTACTGGTCCCAAGGGCAACAGCTGAGCTACTTCCTGATCCCACTCATGCTTCAGGGATCAACCATCGCATGTGGCCCTACACCAAGGTATCTTGGCAAAAAGGGCAGAATTTCTTCTCTTATCTCCTCTTCATCACTAAGAGGGGTTGCTGAGTAGGGCTCATGAGGCTACGATAGCAGGACAGTATAATCTGAGCTTGTCTCAAGCCCTGGAATGAATATATATATATATATATATATATATATATATATATATATATATATATATATATATATTTGAACTTATAACACATACTATTCCACTGGAGTTGTTTCAGGAGTTCTATGGGCAACAAGAAATTAATATGTGGTCAATTTCAAAGGGCTAAATTATATTTGGAAATTTAGAATATGATCCAAATAGCATTTCAAATCAGTGGCAGTGTGTGCTATGGTGATACCTAGATAGCTGTATGGGTAAAAGAAGCAAAAGTAGACCAATTTCTAAGTTTTTAATTAGGATAAATTCCAAATGGTATAGATATAAATATCAAAACTAAAACTCTTACAATTGTTAGAATAATCTGGAAACTAGAAGGGGCAAAGCAGAGATTCTTCCCTAAAGCCTATATAGAGAGCCCAGCCCTGTTGGCATCTACAAGTTGGAGGTGGGGAGAACTTTCCTAACTATGACTTGAAACCCAAGATTGTAAGTAAAAATATTGATATAATTGACTATATAAAATAAAAATAACAATACTGCATAGCAAAAATATGATAGCCACTAGAAAGACAATGGGGGAAAATTGACAGCTAACACCTCCAAAATGTGTTGATTTCCTATCTATATAAAAGCTGATATAGAGACATTAAAAATCCAATACTACCATCAACAATATTTAAAAGGTATAAATAGCAAGAAATTTAAATTATCTTTAAAATTACAAAAGGAGGCACAAACTAACTTTCTTTTTTGGGGGTGTGCTGGGGCATCAAACCCAGGGCCTCATGCATGTAAGGCAAACACACTACCTTGGAGCTACATCCCTGGCCCCTCAAACTTTCTTTAAATAAGAGAGATACAACTAAAACTGCAGTAAGATATGATTTCTCAATATTAAATTGAGAAAGATTGAAAAGTCTGTCAATACATTCAGTTGGTGAGGATGTGAAATGAAAAAAGTACTTTCTACACTGCCCATTGAGATCAAAATGATATGATTACCATAAAATGATTAACAATGGCTCCCATTGCTATCAATTACAATTTGTTGAACCTGTAAGTCTTACCTTACCTGATAAAAGATCTTCAAAATGTGATTAAGCTAAGCATGATGAAATAGGAAGCTCATATGAGATTGTTGGGTGGGTCTTATAAATAGTCACAAGTGTCCTTAAGAGAGAGGAGAGAGGGAGGCTTGACATTCGTAGAAAAGGAGAAGACAGTATGACCATGCAGGCAGAAATTGGTGAGGGGGCAGCAATAGGCCAAGGAATGCTGGCAGCTATGAGAAGCTGGAAAAGGTACAGTGCAGATTCTTCCATGAAGCCTCCAGAGCATGGCTCTGCTGACACCTTGATTTTGGCCAATAAAACAAATTTCTGACTTCTTCTCTTTCCAGATCTCCGAGAAAATTAATTTATCTTGCTTCAAACAACTAAGTTTGTGGTGATTTGTTACAGTAGACACAGGAAACTAATGTAACTGCCATGAAGGGAAATTTGATAATATCTCCAAAAATTGTATATGCTTTTATTCTTTGACTCACTAAACCAATTTCCAGAAATTAAAAAAAGTGCATGTATGTGTACTGTCAATAACAGAAAATTGTGGTATAGATACAAATATGAATATATATACATATATATATATATATATATATATATATATATGTGTGTGTGTGTGTGTGTGTGTGTGTAATATATATTCATTGTGATGTTACTTTTATTGCAAAAGAATAAAAGAAACCTAAGTATCCAAAGATAGGAAGTACAAGAAAAAGGAAACAACACCCTCATCTTGATCCTAAAATATGCTAGGAACTATATAGGGCAGACATAATGCTCAGTAATTAACTTTAAGGACACCTTACAATACACATTCCTAGAAGATTCAGCAATATACAAAGTTATATAGACAAATACATAGACTCAGCCTCCTCATCATCCATGATTCCAAGAATTTTCTGAGGTGAATTTACTGGGGGGAAAAAATTACAACTTCACATTTTTCACAGATTCAAATATAGCATACATAAAGTTGAAAGCTACTAAACTATATTATTTTAGCGGTCAATATTTCAGAAAATGATTTGCAATATTGTCTCTGGGACATTTTTTCTGTCTATTTCAATGTATGGCTAATGATTTCTGAAGATGGTATGGAAATACATGTCCATGCCTATTAAGTATCAAACAGTATCCTACAATAGTATATACTTTCAAACAAAAAGATTCCTCAATATCTATTTTTAAATATTTGTTTTGATGGTTCAGTGAATATATAAGAATTATAAATGCTATTTAAGAAATAATGCCATTTACAGTAGTACCAAAGTATGAAATATTTATGAATACTCTATCCACATATGTAAAATATTTGTACACTTACCACCTATAAAATATTGCCAAGAAAACTAAGGAAGACTCAAAGAAGTGGAAGACAAATGGTATTCATGGGACTCAGAATTGTTAAGATGTCTCTTCTCCTCAAATTAATATACAGATTCAGTGCAATCTCAATAAAAGTCCTACAAAAAATTAAAAGAAATTTATAAACTGATGTTAAAATCATGTAGAAATAAAAAGGACCTAGACTATAACAAATGACTTAGAAAAAGAACCAAGTTAGAGGACAAATACTACCTGATTTCAAGATTCCTTATAAACCTACAGTAATCAAACTGTGGTTTTGGTATCAAGGTAGGTAAGTATGATACCAAAGCTTGGTCCTTGTCTCCACTGACGATTTAATAATGAGGACAGGTTTTGAGAAAAAGTAAGAAGTTTTATTGATTTATTAGCAAAGTAGAAACACTGGGGACTCCTGTTCCAGAGGCTGATTCTCCCTGCCTGTGGGAACACAGGAATTTTAAGGGAGGAACACAAGAACTGGGATATAAACATTATCAGTAGATATAAGTAATTAGTGTCCAGTGGATGTCCTTGAGAGAGCTGTTGCTCCAGCTCCCAGGTTTGGAGTTGCTTTATTCTTGTGGACAGTGATATTGTTCAAGGTGTGAAGGACATGATAGCTTAGCGTGGGCTGGGAAAAATGTTGGTCTTGTTTCCCCTGCCATTAGGGATGTGGAGAGGATAAATATGAAGAAAATGGAAAAATAAGAAAAAAAATGCCAGTTTTAAAGTGATCCACCTGTGGTGGTGGGGCAGCAATGTTTACACTCAAAGCATGAAGTGGAACCCTGTTACATCAAAGGAACAGAATAAAGAGTCCAGAAATAGACTCACTCCTGGATGGACAACTAATTTTCAACAAAGGAGCAAAAGCAATTAAGGAGAGAAAGGAAGGTCTTTTCAACAAATGGTTCTAGCACAAATGGATATCCAAAAATGAATTGTGGTACATATACTGTACCACACACAAAACTGAACTCAAACTGAATCTGACACTTAAACATAAAACCTAAATGTGTAAGCTGCTGTAAAGAAACACAGGAGAAAATCCTTATAAACATGGGTTAGGTAAAACTTAGATAAGACCAATAGAAGCATCTTAACTTTAAAGAAAGAAAATTATAAATGGTCCTCCTCAAAATTAAACAGTTTTACTCTTCCAAAAACATGGTTGAGATAATGAAAAGAGAAGCAATGATTGTGAAAAAGCTGGGTACAGTGATGCATGTCTGTAACCCCAGTGATTCGGGAGGCTGAAGCAGGAGGATTGCAAGCTGGAGGCTAACCTAGGCCTCTTATCAAGACCCTGTCTCAAAATGTTAAAAAAAAATGGCTGGAGATGTAGCTCAATGTTAAAGCATCCATGGGTTCAATACCCAGTACCAAAATTAAATAAAGAAATAAAATAACTTTGAAAAAAAGTGTATGAAAGTAATATGTCTGACTAGTAACATATCCAGAAATTAGAAATCAATAAAAAGAAAAAAAGACACAATAAATAAATAGGAAAACAATGTGAACAGACACTTCACCAAATAATATATATAAATAGCAAATAATCATATGAAAATATGTTCAACATCATTGTTTTAGAAATATAAATGAAAACTACAATGAGATACCACTACACTCCCATGAACATGGCTAAAATTAAAAAAGACTGACCATACCAATTGTTGACAAGGCTGTGGAGAATGAACTCTCATATATTGCTCATGAGAATGAAAAATGATACAACCACTTTGGAAAAGATTTTGGCAGTTTCTGACGATAATTATTTTATGTCTACCATAGGCTCCAGCCACTGCATTCCTAGTTATGTACTCTAGACAAAGAAATCATATATATATATATATATATATATATATATATAGAGAGAGAGAGAGAGAGAGAGAATTTATACACAATGAAAGCTCATCATCCATAATAAAGTGGATAGATAAAACCAAATTGTGGCATATCTATATAATGGAATAGTGCTCAGCAATTAAAATGGAAACAATATGGATAAATCTAAAATTAATAGGTTGAATATAAGAAGCCAGACAAAAGTGAATACATATATGAATCTGCTTACATAAAATTATAAGAAAGACAAAATAATCAATAGTGAGGTAACAGTAGTTGCTTGAAAATGGGGAGGGGTGGGAGAGGCAGGGAGGCTGGAAGGAGATATGTGGGTATGAGGATGGCAAAGGGGCAGGAAAACACTTTTTGGGGGGATGGATATATATTTCCTTTGCTGTAGTGTTGGCTTCACTGGTGCATACAGATGTCAATACTTCAGCAAAGACTTTAAATACGCACAGTGAATTACACATGAATCATACATCAATAAAGTATTGGAAATATGCTTGTATTCTTCAGAGATTTGGTGAAATACATTTAAATAGAATAATTTCCACTAAGATGATCCTGTCATATTAATAGATAATCACTAGGTCTTTTTGAGTTTTCCATACAACATATGACCAAAATAGAAGCAATCATTTGCAATGAGGTCTATCTAAATATTTAGGGAAAGGTGATGCACATTTCTTTCTGAAGTCTAAAACTGAAATGGTACAACCTGATAAAATAATCATACTGATATTCAGTGTATTTGGTTATTTTAAACAACATAGCTCTGAATTACAATAGGATAAATTCTATTTTAATTAATATTTTTGAAAAACATAAAAATTATATTAAACTAATCCTTAGATAATAGTTGGTTTCTACAAAAATTTAAGAATGCATAAAACTTGGCTACCAAGGATGATTCAATTCCATATTACAATTTCACAATGCCTTCTAACCAACTGTATATTTCAATACTCATCTGAAGATTTTGATAGGAATCAGTTTTTTTATGCATATAATCAAAAAGTAAATGAAATTTATTGAACATACCTGTTAAATATCAAGTTCCTACCACAAGCTGAAGGATTCATTGCTTTCAGACTAAGAAGCCATCTCTAGGATGAATGAGCCTCAAGGGCTACAACAAAGCATATAAGTTGCCAATGGGACAAAACTCCATTTTCTTCTTCAAATGATGATGTTAAAAGAGCTTGTCTACTTTTATATGATTTTGTGAACCTTGTAGACAATATTCAATAACATGACTATGTTTAGCTCTATGAACTCACATGAACCAAGACTCATATCACACCAGGGGTCTCCTGAGCACTGCAGCATTTACATGTGGGGTAGAAGTTCAGCAGCCATCACCACTCAGATCCTCGGAAACTGCCTCCTTCAGACATTTGATATAATAAGCCCAAGAGGAATTTCTCAGGAAAAAAGAGAACCCAAGAATCACTGTGCCTCACAAGAGGAACTGTGTACCTAGTACCATGCTAGGCACTGGTACAACTGGGTAGTGATTATTACAACCAGAGGTACAATGGGCTTCTCACCAGGACCTTTTTATTCTCTGTTACTTATCTCTCATCTGCTAAAAACAAATTTGAAAATGAATAAGAAGTGGTCTAATTTATACAGGCATCTATGATCCTATAATATCCACACAGTACACCACACTGCCTGGGGCCAGGAGGGTTCCATATTTCTCTCCCTCTTGAGTCAGCAGGGCACCAAGACCCAGTGTGGGAACAAGGTGATTTGGGTCTCAGATGCCTTTGTCTCTCCATGCCTCAATCCTCATTGTGGGGCACCCACACCCTCTGCTGAGTCCAAACACCTGAAGGTGGGACACTGCTCTCCAACCATAGCAAGTGGGTCTCCTTTAAAATGTCATCACAGTCACCATAGTGGCCATAATGACATCTGGTTTCTATGGCAACCACAATTCACAGATTTGTCCTCAGCACTAGAAACGCCTGTTAGTGGTTGGAACACTGGAATACTCAGTGCCTCAGACAAATATGCAAGCAGGTCACCAAGCTTAGCTAAAATATCAAAACCCCAAAGCTGCATTATTAGAGAGATTTCAAAAACATTATGTTCAGTGAAGAAAAAATCAATAAGTAGTATATAAATATAAATATACTACTTATGTAAGAGCTTAAAATAAGTAAAGCAACCATGGGTTTTGTTTAGGGATATAGTCACAGGGGTAAAACGTGGAGCAAAGCAGGAGAATGTCAAAAACAGATTTTGGATAATGGGTCCTTTTGGGGATAAGGCATCAGAAAAGTCATCCAGGTGTATTTACTCTGATGTTTAATTTTACAGTCTTGGTTGTGGACATATCTGGTTATTATGGTATTTATTATACCTTTCAAATGTCTGAATTCTAATATGTTTACATTAAGAAAACTCTATTGGGTTTTATTTATCTCTGATTAACAGGTAGCCCATCATCCTCTTGGTAAATGTGGGAAATGAATTCAGATACCACTATGAATATATCCATAACCATCAGCTTCACCGTGCACTAGTAAAAGTTATCATGTGTTATATTCTCTCCAAGTATCATCTGCACACATATACACTCTATATGCAATGAGTATGAATCCAGCTTAACTGGAATGGATGAATTTTCTGCAGTTGTGTACCCACATGTGTGGGGACTAACATCTACACCCATTCAATAGCTCACAGATCTATAGGTCAGAGGTCTGGCACAGCATGACCTAATTGTGTGCTTAGGGAAAAATCCAGGTATTGGTGTAGGTCCCACTGAGGTCTCAACTGAAGCCTCTGGGGAGTAATCTAATTCCAATATCATGCTTGTTGCTACAGAAATAATTTACTTGTGACTACTGGACTGAAGTCTTCATTTTCCTTATGGCTGTCATCTATGAAGGTTCCTTGCTCCTAGGGACTAGTCCAATTTTCTGCTGTATAGCCACCTTCATCTTCCAGCCAATGATGGTGCATTGAATGCTTCCTGGGTTGTGAATCTCTGACTTCCCCTACTTAGAACAGCCAGAAAAAAATACTTTTAAAGAACTTGACTGAGGCCAAGTGTGATGGCACATGCCTGTAATCCCAGTGGCTCAGGAGGCTGACAGGAGGATTGCAAGTTCAAAGCCCGCCTCAGCAAAAGTGAGGCACTAAGCAAATCAGTGAGACCCTGTCGCTAAATAAAATACAAAATAGGACTGGGGATGTGGCTCAGTGGCTGAGTGCTCCTGAGTTCAATACCCGGTACCAAAAAAAAAGAAAGAAAGAAAAAAAGAAAAAAAAAAAAAGAACTTAACTGAGTAGGTCAGGCCTACCCAAATAGTCTCTCTTTTGCTACATAACAGAACACAATCATGGAACACATATCATATTCACAGATACAAACCATGCTCAAAGAGGAGGAGATTACACAAGGGTGAAGGTCATTGGATGTCATCTTAGAATTCTGCCTACCGCATGGAGATTCAAGACAATTTTTTTAAAAAATCACTCAAACTTCATCAGTGGTGTCCAGACTGAAACTGGTTTTTGACCCAGAGCTCAGGCCACTATTATAGGGCATCACTGTGCTAGGGTGAGGCCAGCACAGGGAAAGTGACTCACCCAAGAATCTGCAGTCAGGGAGGTGTCCAGTGTCTTGACTCTCATCTTTGGTCCAGCATCCATGTTGTCTGCTCTACCTCAGAATCAATGGGAAACTGCGCCTCTGGTATCAAACAGTATGGCAAACTAAGGGGACAGCAAGCATATGTAATAATAGGAAATGGTGCCATAATTTATTCCTCTGTCCCAACCATCAGGTAACACAAACCACAGCTTGACACTGGCCCAAAGCTTACACATTCTGGGATCTATTTCAATGCTTGCTGCTCCCTTTGCACAGGCTCTCTATGCATTTACACTTTTGAGCTTTGGCCAATGACATCTCCTCCTGGGAGGGAAGAGGCAGTGGAAACAGGACTCACACTGTGTCCCATGGGTACTTTTCAGCATTTCTTATTTACCATCAGATGTCAGTGTGAAGGAATGGTGAGTGCCATTTCACATGTGACCAAGCTCAGTCTCACAAAGTCTAAGACTCTCTCCAGATAAGTGGCAGGATAGAAATGAGGTTCCATTTCTTGCTCTCCCTGCAAAAGAACCAGCAGCTTCCCATTTGGAAAATGGTCATTTTCAACTTTCCCAGTACTATGCCCTATATGTAAGTACTCACTCGACAACCCCCCATATTAAAGATGGTGGTGGTGATAAAATCTTTGTGCCATGAGGCCTAACTATAGTGTCACGTGGGTTGGCTGGTCTATGAGTTTAAGTGTACTGAAAAATTGGGAACATGATAGTATCTACAACAAGAGGAAATAGGATGCTGATTTTCTTCTTTTTTTCCCAACTCCTCCAGGACAGAGGAGAACAGCAGGTCCTCCAGTGTGGCGCGCGCTCGCTCTCTCTCTCTCTCTCTCTCTCTCTCTCGTTGCTATTTTTCCTACCCCTTTGTGACAGTAGGCGACATAGAGAGAAAGTAGGCATCTAGGTCACCCCTGGGAAGGGACAGAAAGATGATAAATGCTCAACATGAGAATAGAATCCAAAACAGAGGAACTGGAGCCTCTGCCCTGGGTATTGATTCATTCACCAAGAACTTAGTCCCCACCTGTCTATTTTCTTTGTCACCACTCTACCACAGAGCAAAGACACTCACACACAACAGATACATGTGTTCCCAGGTGAGGATAAGAGAGTGAAGAGACTTACCCCCAAGTCAAGAATGTTCCAGAGTTTCTGGTTTGGATATAATGCTTGCCCAGGGAGATCTGTCTGTCTTGCTCCAGCATCATTTCCAGAATACACAGCATGAAGATTGCTCTCTCCCTTCAGGAGCTCAAGGAAATATGCTTCTCTCATGTAAAACAGGGGATAAAAGTAGGAGACAGGAAAATTTGGGAAACATGAAGAAATGGGGTAGACAGTGACTTCAGATGAATGGTTATGATATAATCAATTCCCTTCTTCCCTACCCCCTTCCCTATTAGGACACTCATCCCACCACACAGAAATGGCATGGATTCACAGTGAAAAGAGAAACACGCCAGCATTTTCTTTCTTGTCTCTACATGCTCTCTAGGCAAATGGAAAATTGTTACTGTATGCTAGAAGAAACTTAAGAAAACATTGCCTTAACCAAGTGAAAACTATGTCATGTAAGCATCATGTAGTACCAGATATGATGTAGCAAGAAGGGTGCTTCAACTCTGTGGTATTGTTTCTCAAAACTCATAAAATTATCTAACATGGAGAAAAACTGACTAAGCCTCATGATTGTCAGGGCCATGAAAGTATTCTAGCAGTTCCTCAAATAGATAAACATGGAATCACCACATGCCCAGCAATTCCCACTCCTAAGTATATACTCAAGAGAAATAAAAACATGTCTATGTCAAAACTTGTAATAAGTGTACACAGCATCATCATTCACAATTAATAAAAAGTGGAAATTATGCAAAGATTAATGGATAAACAAAACACAGTATATCCTTAAAACAGAATGTTATTCATCCATAGAAAGAAATGAATTCTACATGCTAGAATATGGATGAACCTTGAAAATATTATCTGAAGTGAACGAAGCCAGATGCAAAAGATCAAATATCATAATTCCATTTACATGAAATGCTAAGAACAGGAAAATCCATAGAGACAAAAAGCATAACTGTAGTTCATGTGGCTGGGGGTGGGTGGGTGCAGATTTAACTGCACTGAAACACAATGGGAATTTTTCAGGTGACAGAAACATCCAAAAGTCCATTATGGATATAGGTACACAACTCAATATATTTACTAAAAATTACCAACTTTAAAATGTGTGATTTTAATTGTCTTTATATTTGCAAGAAAGCTTTTAAAATGTGATTTTTGGCCTAGGGTTTTCTTTTCTTTTCTTTTCTTTTTTTTTTTTTTTTTTTTGGTATGGGGATTAAGCCCTTGGCCTCACATGTGCCAAGCATTCACTCTACCACTGATCTACACCCCCAGCCCCTGGTCATCTGTTATACCCCAAGAACAATCAAAAATTTCCTGAGGTTGCCCTTGTAGTGAAAGCCTGATTTACCTCTGATCTCTTTCACATCTTCCAACTATGGTAGTAACTTAAGAATTGGTCCAAAATAGAGTCTAAGGCCTGCCCTCTGTGACAGGAAGTCAGCATTATTACTTTCCTCATGCCTCTCCATACTTTTATTTTCCATATGCTTCCATTTTAGGGAGACTAAATTAGAACTTCCTTCATGAATGTCAGGATGGCACTACTTATCAAAGGGCCACATAGGTGCACACCCTTTGCACCAACAATTTCCCTTTTAGAAGTCTATTTTCAGGACCTAGTAAGGGCCATGAATAAGAATCTGGTTATAAACACTGCCATCCTGGAGCTGGGGTTGCAGTTCAGTGGTTGAGAGTTTGCCTAGCACATGTGAGGCACTGAATTTGATACTCAGCAATGCATAAAAATAAATAAATAAAATAAGGGTCTTGTGTCTATCTACAACCAAAAAATATATATTAATAAATGGAGGCCAGGTGAAGTGGCACACACCTGTAATCCCAGCAGCTCTGGAGGGTGAGGCAGAAGGATCTTGAGTTCAAAGCCAGCCTCAGCAATTTTGCAAGGCCCTAAGAACTCAGTGAGACCCTGTCTCTAAATTAAATACAAAAAGGGCTGGGGATGTGTCACAGTGGTTGAGTGGCCTGAGTTAAATCCCTGCTACCAAAAAAAAAAAAAGGCAGCAGAAGGAAGGGCTGCAGTTACAGCACAGTGGTTGAATGCTTGCCTAACATGTGTGAGGTACTGGGTTTGATCCTCAGCATCACATATAAATAAATAAAGGTATTGTGTCCATCTATACCTAAAAAAAACAAAAACAAGAAAAAAATAACAAACACTGCCATCCTGAGAACTCCCTTCCTCTACTTCTGGGCCTGAATTTAGAAAGATAGGCTAAATAGGAGGCAAAGCCACAAAGAGGCAGAGGGAAGCATGATTGTCAGCGTGCACATACATACAAACCAGGTTCTGGTATGACTAGAATTCTCCCACGACAGTTTGCTGGGCTCAAACAGAGCATATTCATCTCATCTTGCAAACAGCCATGTGAACTCTGCCTCACACTGTGCCCTTCAAGTGGTGTAATGCCATCCCACAGGGTTGATAATGAGGAATATCAGAACACCCCAATTAACACAGTATTATGAAAAGTGACTATCACATCCATAAGATAGAATTCTAGAGGGCAGTAAAAATAAGTTATAATGGAAACAATAGTGAGAGGTGGTATGTTACCTATCAGATTAGCAATAATTCATATTATTTCCAATGTGTAAAGAAACAGATACTTTCATACCACGTTGTTAAGAATATACATTAGTGGGCTGGGACTATAAGTGGTAGAGCGCTTGCCTAGTACTTGTGAGGTACTGGGTTCGATCCTCAGCACCACATAAAAATAAATAAATAAAATAAAGTATTGTGTTCATCTACAACTAAAAATATTTTAAAAGAATATACATCAGGGCTGGGGTTGTGGCTCGGTGGTAGAGTGCTCGCCGGTAGAGTGCTCGCCCAGCATGTGTGAGGCACCGGGTTCGATCCTCAGCACCACATAAAAATAAAATAAAGATATTGTGTCAAAATAAAGATATTGCGTCTGAGAATATTAAACTATAGTCTCTAATACAAATGGTAAAGGAAGTAAATTTTTATGCAACAATACAAGTAAAATACTTGGCAGCATCTATATGATGAAACGATCATTTGATGTAAAATCAAAAACAACTAAATTGCAATTTAAAATATTTTCACAGAAATGCATTTACATATAAATATTGTCATAATGAAGGTAAAGGCAGGTTACAAAGATCACAGTGACCTGAATTTATATTTTCTCACATATGTCTCTATTTATCCAGAGAATTTTAGCCATAAAAATAAGATATCACTTGTTTCTCTCACATAGAATTTCTCTTCATAATAATGAGAGTCTTCACTTTTTGTCTGGAGTCATCAATATACCCATACACTGGAAGTACCCCCTTTTTCACCCAGTTTTCCATAAAGCTCTGCAGAGTGGGTTTGGGCAAGCCACACCCTCCTACTTTCCTGAATAGCAGTTTAAAGCTGCAGTTTAGAATTCTGTCACGAGGTGGCAATAGCATACCATCATTATCAAATATCTCCACAAAGCAGTTTACACAATGAGCAGAAAAAATGATACCGCCATTGAAACCAGCTTGTACAGAATGATTCTTTTTCTTTCCCAAAACTGGTAAGTGTAAAAGAATACTGTAAAAACATACAACGAAATTCCAAATAGCTCTAGCATGCCTTGGCATTTACCAGTGAGCATAGGGCAGCACAGACCTAACAAGAAGTGACCAAAAGGGGATGGGGGCGTCAGCAGTATGGGCAGCTGTATCCAGGGTTCAGGAAAAGGGATGACTGAGAGTGGGTGTCAGAAGGTCTGGGAAGCATGTTCAGGGGTGGGGTAATGGATGGTGAGGATTCTGGTCACTGGGGGACCCTCTATAGTGTTGACACTTCAATCTACACTGAGGGGAAAGAGATAAATCAGTTAATGCCATGTATATTTGGGGTCAACAGCAAATTGAACTGCTTTGATATACATGTGAATTTTCCAAACAGAACTAGAATCATTTTTTTCATGAAAAGGTATATGTTGTAGGGTAACAAATACGAGTTTATCATATTTGTTACCCTACAAAACATATACCTTTTCATGAAAAAAAGAAAAGAAAAAACTAAAGACTGGGAATGGTGGCACATGCCTGTAATTCCAGAACTCAAAAGGCTGAGGCAGGAAGATGGCAACTTCAAAGTCAGCCTCAGCAACTTAGTGAGGCCCTAAGCAACTTGCCCTTAGCAAGATCCTATCTCAGTCCTTTTTGCTTTTGTTTGAGCTTGCCAAGAATGTGCTAGGCCCCGGGTGCAATTATCAGTATTGCAAAAAAGAGAAGGAAAAGAAAGATGGGTATCATCTGGTAGCATGAGGGAGACTGTAACTTTGAGTGACTCAAAAAGGGGAAGGAAGTGATGCATGTTGGGAGCTTGGTCCTAATTCCAGTGTTTTCTGGAATTATTGAACTAACAGAAGGAATCATCCTGCATCCATCACTATCTAGGATATCTAAAACTGAGATTGGCTCCAGCCTCCCATCTGATCTGAGAGAAAAATGCAGCTTTGATGCTCAGAGTCCTCTAGGGAGGGTGAGAGAATCTCCTACCAGTCCTTACGTTTTACCTAAAGAAGTGATTTAGGCTTTGTGAGCCTAAGCTTGGCTTGGTAATCTGTGAAATGGGCCTGACCATTCCATCCTTACTGTCAATACTGTAAAAATATACAATGTATGTTTTTACAGTTGACCTGAGGAAAACCTGCCCAGAGAACATGACATAGAACAGGACTTTAAAGTTGAGACATGAAACAGGAGCTGGCTGAGCCTCAGGACTAAGGTAGGTATTGTGAAACCATTCCTCATTGTTTCCCCTACTGAGAACACAGGCAGCTAGATAAAGAATGCAAATCTCTCTCTGATATGCCTTGAGTTCAAAGTTTTAGAGACAGAGATTATCTACCTTCTTGGGTATTTCATAATGTGATAAGAGCTGTTTCACAACACAGCTCTGAGCAAACCCAAATCTAGTTCATCACACTGGGAAGATAGGAGTATCTGTGACCTAATATGGTGAGCTCAGTGACAGGTCACAGTGGGAAGAAAGGTGTGGTGTTTGCCTAATGGTTGTTACTGGACTGCTCAGTTCATGTATTTATAGGAAACTTCTAGACCCATCCTGCAACTCATCAGTGCAAGGTCCTCAGATGATGCATTATCCAACCACATGACACCAGGATTTCAGCCATTTCTGGAGAGACAGAAATCCAAGATTCACTAGCAATTCTCTCACACATTTGCCCATTCTTTCATTTGCTAATAACTAAATATGTATTGTGCTCATAACCTATACTATTCCATTAGAGGTATCTCATTAACTCCTTATGGAAATGAAAGTGTGAGAAGAGAAATAAATATATGGGCAACTTTAAGGTTTAAATCTGAGATGAGGTGATTCTTCAACGTTAACTTGTAAACTTGCTCAAGTAAGTTTCAAAAAATTAAAGCTATCCAATAATCCCTCCTGGGCATCTCATTACCCATTCAGTGACAGGTTCAATATCTAACTTCCTTTTTCTCCCTACTCCTTCAAATCAAAGGTCCAAAAAGGATTTCTACATTCCCTGTTTATAAATTTCATTTTCCATTCATTCCTTATCCCATTGTATTTGGCTTCCATTCCCATAACTGCAATGAACATTTTCCAAGGTCACAAACCACCTTCTTGTTACTAGATACAATTGTTCGTATAAATATATTAACACAGTGACTATTATTTTTAATGATGTCCTAAAATACGCATGTTTGAATCAACTGCTTCTCTCTCTTAACAATAAATTTTTCTAATATTTTTTTAAATGTTGATGAACCTTTATTTTGTTCATTTATTTATATGTGGTGCTGAGAATTAAACCTAGTGCCTCACACATGCTAGGCAAGTGCTCTACCACTGAGACACAACCCCAGCCCTCTTAACAATAAACTTACCAGGCTCTCGAGCATGACTACTGAGTACAAATACAAACTGTCCCACTTCCCAACTGTGCAGTCTTGGGCAAGTCCTTATTGTCTCTATCCCTCAGTTTGTCATCTATATAACGAGGATTAACAATAGTACCCATCTTGTAAGTGTGCTCTAAGCACTGAATGCCTCAATACATAAAGAGGATATGATACATAAGAAATTTTAGGCAATTTTAAAATTTGTTTTTACAAATCATTATTGATCTTACTTTCTTTACAGTCATGATAAAATAGGGTACAGACTGGTGTTTATTCATAATGACATTTGTAACATGTTGTTACTGCAGGGCATGATGGCGCACGTCTGTAATCCTAGCTACTCAAGAGCTGAGACAGGAGGATCGAAAGTTCAAAACCAGCCTTGGCAATTTAGCAAGGCCCTAAGCAACTTAGTGAAACCCTGTTTTGAAATAAAAAATAAAAAGGGTTAGGGATGTGGTTCCATTGTTCAGAACTCCTGGGGGTTGGGGATATGGCTCAAGCGATAGCGTGCTCGCCTGGCATGCGTGCGGCCCGGGTTTGATCCTCAGCACCACATACAAAAAAAGATGTTTTGTCTGCCGAGAACTGAAAAATAAATATTAAAAAATTCTCTCTCTAAAAAAAAAAAAAAAAAGAACTCCTGGGTTTAACCCCCAGTACCAAAAACATGGAGATATATTGTTACTGAGCATATTCATCTCCTAGGGCTGCCATAACAAATTACCATAAACTTCATGGCAAAAAAGAGAAATTTATTCTTGTACAGTTCTGAAAACTGGAAGTTTAAAATCAGTGGGTTGACAGGGTCTCACCCTCTCTGAAGACTTAAAGAGGAAGATCCTTCTTTACCTCTTCCAGCTTGTGGTGGCTTCCATTTCCCTGGGTTTGTGGCAGCAGAACTCTAATGTCGGTCTCAATCACATGACCTCCTGCCTGGGTGGGTGTCAAAGTTCTCTATCATTTCTTTTACAAAAACAGAGGTCAGGGGCTGGGGTTGTGGCTCAGTGGTAGAGTGCTTGTCTACCATTTGTGAAGCACTGGGTTTAATCCTCAGTACCACATAAAAATAAATAAATAAAATAAAGTTATTATGTTCAACTACAATTAAAAATATTTTTTTTTAAAAAAAAAAAAAAAGGTCATTGGATTTAGAGCTCACCCTAAATCCAGGATGATCTCATCTCAAGATCCTAAATTACATGTGCACAAACCCTATTCCCCAATAAGTACCTGCTTTCACAGGTACTGGGAGCTAACTCTGGGACAAATTTTGTTGGGAGATGTAATTCATTCAACCCACTACAATAATACAAGCAGGTTAAAAAACTAAAATGAGTTCCTATATTATGTAAACAAATACAAAAATTTAGCCATATATGTATAAATAAACACATGCATAAGAAAACTTATGAAATAATATAATTAGATGAAAGCATTAGCAGGATTTACCTTGGGTTTTATGTTTGGGGAATGTTATTTTATATTACTTCCTATATTTTCTACTTTTACCTATAATACATATCTATTTCTCTTGTAAATATACAAAATAATAAAATAATTAGGAAATAAGCATTTGCTGTCCCACATATAGGAAAGTCACTCAATGCAAAAGAGGAACATCCCTAAAACTTAGGAAGGGAGACAGGAGCCAAGCAACACTGTTTGTAGTATAACAGGACACATTTCCCCAAATTCCAAACCATAAAGTTTTTTTTTAATATATATTTTAAATTTCTGCCTAGTCAACTGAGAAAAAACAAGTTACCTCCGCTTCATTCATTTTTATGTGCCCGATTAACAATAAATCTGGTCTTATCTGATGAGAGGCAGTAGCGCATACTGATTAGGTATCTTTGCTTGATTGCTACATGGCCTACTTTCAAATCTAAGCCTCTCCACTCAATATCCCTGCCCTAACTGTGCCTCAGTTCCATTATGTTAAAGTGGAACATCAATAGGCCCTCCTCCTCAGTTGCAGTGAAGGTTAAATGAACAATGACAGGCTTAACACTGATAATAGTGTCTGGAACTATAGGAAGTCAACAATGAATATTAACCATTTTAATCACTGTTTTATATCTAATTTGATTACTAGTGTCTTGGTGGCCTTTTTTATTGTTATGTGTATTCAGAGTGATGGACATGGATTGCCCTTCCATGTCTGTCACAAAAAAGCAGTTAACAAGGGTATAAGAAGTATGTTATCAAATTCCTGTTCTTAAATATGGTTACATTTGCACAGAAAAACTTGTGAAAAAAGTTTGAATACATATATTCAAAAAGTTCATTTGAGAGACAAACTCTTTTGAATATACATATATTCAAAATTTAACCATGTTTATTCATGAGTAATTGAATTTTAAGGTTTTTTAAATGATGTTTTTTCCTTTCATGTAATTCCATTTTTATCCATAACAAAAATGTCTTGGTTTTGGAAGTGAGAAAAAAAATAAACACCTCTAGTTCTTCCCCTAGGAAAATGGCTGTTTCCAAATGGAGAACATCCCTAAATCAAGGGAATTAGCTAATAGGGTCATCACAGAACTAACATATAAATCTACCTACACTGACAGCCACAGTTGGGTACAGTTGGGAAATTATAGATGTACAGGGAAAGGGCAAGAGTACGTCTCCACTTCCCAGGATTTTAGTGAAGGTCATGAGATGAAAGTTGTTTCACAACATGTTCTCACTTTACTCTGCCACGTTGAGATGAAAATGTCCATTTGTTCTCCTCATGTTACCTCCTCTCTGGTTTTCTATGAGGCAGTAGGGGATCTACAGACAAAACCATGCAACAAAACAATATTTCATTTAAGGAGAAACAATAAAAAAGGTCTAAAGAATAAAAAGCCTACCAAGATAGCAGATTAAGAGATACCACCCTTCATCTCCCAATAAAAGTATATAGACAGCCATTCACAAACCAAAACTCCCAGAGAGGGCTCAGAAGTCTATTAAAGAATCTGCAGTCAGTAACACAGTAGAGCAAAAAAAAAAGGAAAAAAAGAATATTCTCATCAAAAAGGGTCTCTGGCGAGACTAGCATAATTCAGATGCCTGAAGATAGCTAGGAGCAAAGAAGAAAGTCAGAGGTTACCACTGTCAGAGGCCAGCTCCACCGAGGACTCCAGAATCTTGCTCACCACTAAGGTATAAATCATTCTTTTTAAGAGAAATCCTGAGATAAGACACAGATACATGCCCCTCCTTGCCACACAAGAAGCATCCACTGTTGAGCTATAGTGAGAAAAGAACCATTACCTTTCTCAACCCGAAGCAGTCCCAGACCCAAGGCCATAGTCATTCGATGACTGCTTATACTCTAGACCCAGGCTCTGTGGCTGCATTGTGCCCACCCATAACTCAGATACCAGAGCCACTGCCACAGTGATTAAGTCCATAATCTGGGCCCCATAGTCAAGCCTTTGCAATGCATTACCATGTTCCAGGTATGAGCTCAGCCACCACAGAGGGCAAGGCCCTGCCCTGATAATAGAGCCACTCAAACTTTGTTCACACTGTGCTTCCATTCTTAGCTCCCTGATTATTTCACAAATATCTGCACATCCTGTACTTCCACCAATGCAGCAGTGGGGGTGCTTGTTCAGCAGGTGTCAGGTCCATTACCACCCTGGATCTCAGAGATATAGCCCCTCTGTGTATGCTTGTACTTTAGGCCTCAGCTTCATGGAAGCTCCACCGACACTAGTCATCAGACACCAATCACAAGCCAAACCCAGTGTGAAAGGAATCCATCTAATAGCAGCAGAATAAACACTCTTCTCAAGCACATATCGAACATTCTCCAGGAGAGATCACATGTTAGGCTTCAAGACAAGTCCCCCCAAATTTATAAAGATTGAATTATATCAAGTATCCTTCCTGACCACACTGTTATAAAAGTAGAAATTAATAAGAGGAGAAATTTCAGAAAATTCACAAATAGATGAAAATTAAACATGCTCAAACACCAATGAGTCAAAGAAGAAATTAAAAGAAAAAAAATTAAATATATCGAGACAAAGAGTAGTGGAAATATAATATACCAAAATTTATAGGATGCAGGAGAAGTATTTCTAAGAAGAAAATGTATAGCAGTCAATGCTTACATCAAAAAAGATCCATCCAGACATGGTGGCATGTGCCCGTAATCCCAGCTTTCTCAATTAAGTATTTAAAACATAATGTTTCATAATTTTATCCCTATTTGGTATTATATTTCTAAGTATTCTCTCTGGTAAACATATTATGTTAAAGTTAGAGGTACTGCAATGACAGAACGAAGAAAATTTGAACTAGAGAACTAACACTTGTTGAAGACCTACTAGATACCACATGGAGTAACTTGTTATTCCAGACTTGCATTATTCAAATCTTTAAAGTGATTCTATGAAGTAGGCAGACATTAATTCCTTTCTACAGATAAGGAGATGGTCAGGCTCAGAGAACAAAGCACATGTTCAAGGACTTCCAGAGAGGCATCAAATGAACACTGACATTGAAGGCATATCCACTAGCAAACACTGGGACAACCTGAACATCAAAATATGTAACTATGGGCTGGGGATGTGGCTCAAGAGGTAGCACGCTCACCTGGCATGCACGAGGCCCTCGGTTCGATCCTCAGCACCACATAAAAATAAAATAGAGATGTTGTGTCCACCGAAAACTAAAAAATAAATATTAAAAAATTCTCTCTTACAAAAATGTAACTATAATAATAAATGCTAACTCTGAGCAAAATAGCAATCTATGAATCATTAATAAAATATAATTCTAATAGCCAAAAGTCAATTAATAAATCCAGAAGGAATGACAGAATTATAAAACCAATGCTTCACAACTATCATAGTAAGAAATGATTCAAGAAAGAATCAAAAATGGATGCTCAGTTTGCACCAAATCCCACAGCAGTCACTGAATCACCATGGTAACCATGCTGGCCAAGCAGAAAAATCAGAAAACCAACATCTTCTATTTTGTGTTTTCTAATATGTGCTAGGAATTGAATGTGACTGACATAACATGCAATAATTAACCTCAAAAATTTCTCACAATAAATACACCTCACAGCTTCAGCAGTATACACAAAATATATATTTTATGCATATATACATGTCTACATACATACATACATACATACATACATTTCCTTCCCTTTTTTTTCTTACCACCCAAGAATCCAGGAATTCATCAAGGCAGATTTGTTTAAGGATAAAAAAGGAAAAGTCCACAATGTAATTCTAAATACTGACAGCTACTAAAGTATTTTATTTTAGTGATTGATTTCTCTGGAGATGACTTGTAGAATTGGGTCAAGGATATTTTCTCCTTAATTTCAGTACATTGCCAATGATGTCTAAAAGTTGATAACAAAAATTCAGGCAAATGGATGTCATGATGGTTGATTGTATGTCTCAACTGGCTAAGCCACAGTGCCCAGATATTCAGTCAAGCATTCTTCTAGATGTTTCTATGACAGTGTTTTTGGATGAGATTTACATTAAATTAGCGGACTCAGTAAAGCAGATTGCCTTCCACAATGTGAGTGGGCCTCAACCTTCATGTGGTAGCCTCAACAGAACAAAAAACTGATATTCCTGGAGGAAGAAGGAATTCTGTTGGCTTACTTTTCAGATTTCATCTGCAATATAGGTTCTTCCTAGTCAGTAAGTAGGAGACTACCTTTGAACTCAAACTTCAACTCCTTCCAGAGTCTGAAGTCTATTGGTCTCAGAATTTAGACTTGCCAACACAAGAAGCTGTGAGGATCATGAATTTGAGGCCAGTCTGGGTAACTTAGTGAGACCCTGCCTCAAAACAAAATAAAAAGGGCTGAGGATGCAGTTCAGTAGTAGAGAACCACTGGGTTTAACCCCCATACCAGAAAAAAAGAGAGAAAAAGAAGAAAAGAGGGGGAAAAAAGAAGATATGCTTAAAATAATTAGGAAATATAAATTAAAACAACAATGAGATACCACTATATCCCTCTAAAAATGGCTGGTGCTCTCTAGATAATGGACAAAGGAACTCTCACACAGTGTTGGTGTGGGGAAAATGGTATGACCACTTTGGAAAACAATTTGACAGATTTTTACAATGTTAAGCTTACATTTACCAATTTTTATAGTCATTGATTGTACTCCAAAATATTTTCCCTAGAGAAAGAAATCATTGCTCATGAAAAAAACATTTTAAAAAATGTTCCCATCAGCTTTCATTAAAAAAAAAAGACTCAAGGGCTGGTGATGAAGCTCAGTAATAGAGTGTTTGGCCTAGCATGTGCGAAGCCCTGATACTGATTCTCAGCACTACAGAAATAAATAAATAAAATAAAACAAAATTCTTAATTAATTAAAAAGACTCAAAATAGGAAAAACTCAATTATAATACAAAATGTAGTATATCCAGGTCATGGAATTTTACCCAATAATAAAAAATAAGAACTATTCATACATGCAACAATAAGGATAAATTTTAAAGTAATTAGGTCAAATAAAAGAAGGCAGACAAAAAAGAAAATAAGGAATGTATGATTCCATTTATATAAAATGAAAACTAATTTACAGTGACAAAAGATCACTGTTTGCCTAAGAATGGGGCAAAGTGATATAGAGAGGGAATCTAGAGTCAGGTAGGTGGAGCGAATTACAAAGGGGTATAAGGAAGATTTCTGAGGTGATGAGTATTTTTATTATCTTGACTTTAATACTGAATTTATCAGTACACATGTATGTTAAAACTTACTAAAGCATATATTTTAAGTATGTACAGTAATCTTTGATGTAATTAAATAAATCAGCCTGATGGTTCCTTCTATTATTATTCTCTTGTTATATTAATGGATCTGCACTATGATCAAATTGGTCCATGCTACATATAACCACAATAGAAATGATCATTTGTTATCATATGATAATAAAGTTAATGTCCATTTCCTTCTGAAGTATAAGAATAAAAATATTGCATCCTAGGAAAATAATCATGATACTTAAGAGTAACTGGTTATCTTAGGGAATGTGACCTAGTGTCATTATAATACAGCACACTCTACTTAGAGTAATTTTTATTTTTGCAAATATTAGTTTCTAGTAACTAACATTTTAACTAACATTTGGAAAACTTCTTGCTTTAAAAAACTTCATTAAAAAGTAGAAAAAAATGCAGTCACCAGGAATGAAGTATTATAATCTCAGATTGCTAGAAAGACCTAAAACTGCATATTTCCACACCCACTAGAACAATACACGATCTGTGCAGATGAATTTCCTCCCAAACTTTTACTCAACAATAGACTTCTCAACCAGGAATGCAGAGTTGTTGTTTTTAATGAATACTTATTTATTTTATTTGTTTATATGTGGTGCTGAGAATCGAATCCAGTGCTTCACACATGCTAGGCAAGTGCTCTACCACTGAAACCATAACTTCAGCCTAAGTTTTTTTTTTTTTTTAATCCCACCCACCAAGCAAGTAATGCTGCAGCTGTGGATACTAGATGAGTATTCTCTAATTTACTTCAGTTCTTACACACAGTTCAGTTCTTAGCCCACAGGATGAGGGTTTAATCTTGAAGACCATACCTCCCACACTTTAGATGCCAATCACAAGCCCAGGTTGTTTTGCCTGTGCTTCTGACTGGCCATCTATAAACCAGGGTTTGTGTGATCCCCTTCTTAGGTTTGATTAACTTGCTTGAGCAGCTCATAGAACTGAGGGAAACACATTTACCATTTTATTATTAAGGATATTACAAATGACACAAATGTAGAAATATGTAGGACAAGTATGGGGGAAGAGACCTGGAGTTTCCATCCCCTCACCAGGTGCCACACTCCAGGAATCTCCCTCTGTTCAGCTATCCAGAAGCTCTCTGAACCCAGCCCCTTTGGGTTGTTTATATAGGCTTTATAATATAAGCACAATCAAAGCATGAACAACTGAACAAAAGAATAAGATCTCATGCTACTAGACTGGGTGGGGAAACCTAGCAAGGTCTGTTGAGATTTTTCTTGGCCTCTCTTTAAAGCATTCCTTTCTCAATGATATGGGGCAGGGCTCATATTGGCATGATGGTCAGAATACCTATTATTAGACAAGATAAGTCAAAGAATTTCTTTATGGCCAGCTGAAAACTCAGGCAGGCATGGTGGTGCATGCCTGTAATCCCAGCTATTAGGGAGGCTGATGCAAGATGATCAAGGCCAGCCTCGGCAACTTAATGAGATGCTATTTCAAAATAAATAAGGGCAGGAGATGTAGCTCAGTGGCAGAGTGCTTTCCTAGCATGTGTAAGGCCTTGGGTTCAATCCGCAGCACCTCAAAAAAATTGTTTTGCAAATGCATATTAACCATCATTTTCCCCCAACTGAACTATTCATTGCTTTGTGACAAAGAAGGCATTCCTAACATGGGCCCTAAGGTCTACTACAAACCACATACTACTGAAAGAATGAAATCTCACCAGCTAAACCTCTTCAAGGATGAGATCAAAGTAGCTTCTCTACTTTCAGACTATTTTGTGAACCTTGTGTGCTATTCTGCCATATACTCTTATTCAGATCTATGAACTCACTTGAGCCAGGCATTATATCTTACCAGGGATGGAAGTGTTGGGAATCCCCTGAGCACTGCTGCCCTTCAGATCTTCAGCAGCAATCATGACCCACATCCTCAGAAAACTGTCTTCTTCAGACACCTGATATGAGCCTTATGAGGAGCTTCCAGGAAAGAAACAGAATCCAGAAATCACCTTGTCTTACAAGAGTAACTATGCCTGGCACCATGTTAGGCACTGGGTCATTGTACAGTGACATTGATACAATTCGATAACAACCAGAGGGTACCATGGGATTCTCACCACGCCTTTTCCCTCTCCTTTCCTCCTCTATTCCCTAACAATAAATTTAAAAAAAAATAGTTGTAGATAGACAATACCTTTATTTATTTATCTTTATGTGGTGCTGAGGGTCAAACCCAGTGCCTCACACATGCTAGGGAGTGCTCTACCACTGAGCCACAATCCCCGGCCCCCTAACGACAAATTTGAAAAGGAATAAGTGGCCTGAATTTATACAGGCATTCGTGATTCCACAAAATCCACAGGGCTATGTGCTTGCAGGGTGGGCCTGTGAGAGAGCACTTCTAACCCCATTTTACAGAGGAGTAGCTAGGCTACAGAGGGCCGTTCCCGGTGTTACCCTCCCGCGCCCCGCCTTTACATGAGAGGTAGGTCCAGGACACCTTGGAGCAGAACATCATGCTGCCTGGTGCCAGGAGGGTCCCACGTCTCTCTCCCTCTCCATTAAGCGGGGCACCAAGTCCTAGAGCGGGAATGAGGCGACTTGGGTCTGAGATCCCTTCATCTCCCCATCCCAGCGGAGTTCAATTTCCACCCCCCACCCCCTCCCCGCGCCGCAGGGCACCCACACCCTCAGGTGAGTCCAAACACCTGGAGGCGGGGCCGTGCTCTTCTCTCACCAGATCACCTCCTTGTCTTAAAAAGTCGTCTTAGTCGCCTTGGTCGCCATGATGACGTCAGGTTACTGTGGTAACGGCGATACGCAAGCTGTTTCCCCACACCGGAAACGCCTACACAAAATCCTTCCCTCACCTTCTCTGAAAACAAACAAACAAACAAATCCTTCCTCCTGCAGGCCACCATCTAAGACACTGCCAATTAGACAAACTAGTCTGGGATGCAGGAAGTTGGTGGAATTCTGGTCCGGTTGTGCGACTCGGAGGATTTGCAAGTTCGAGGCTGACCTCAACAACTTTGCGAGGCCCTATGCAACTTAGTGAGACCTTCTCTCAAAAAAAAAAAAAAAAAAAAATTGAAAAGGGCTGGGGATGTTGCTCAGTGGTTAAGTACCCCTGGGTTCAATTCCTGGTATTATAATAATAATGATGGTGATGATGATGATAAACAAATAAGCCAACATATCTATTGCATGCATGTGCATTTCCACATGCATAGAAAAATTGTATGCCAAGTACAGACCAAAAACTCAAGTATGGACCAAATGTTAGCAGGGATTACCTCCAGGGAATAGAATGGAGGAATGGTGGTCAGGAAAAGAGTTTTGATTTTTACTAGCTGTGAGGCATTAAAGACACATAAATTTATAAATTTATAACCATTTCAAAAAAGCATGTGTGGAAGATATTCTAACAAGCAGTAGGGTACAGAGGAGAATAAAATTTATATTCAATATCCACTCAAAACACATTTATCTAATTCTTTGTTCTATTAAAACTGATATAGAAATGTTAATTAGCTCCATATGGTTTATGATGTAAAAATGCAAAAAATAAAATCATGGTTAGTGGGATACAGCTTAAAAATTTAAATAAATGTGATCTATGTTCCTTCCAAACTATAGCTCATCAAGGAAAAACATTATGCTCTGGTGAATAATAATATATCTTGAATAACATGCAAATGGTCAGGAACCATGGATCGATGGGTATGATTGTAAGAGGGAAAATGGCATGGGGAAATATGGAGTTTTTGTCACAAAGAGAACCAGGATTTCTAAATATTTTAGCTTGTTTCAGAACCATACAAGGATACTGGGGCCATATGTCTCAGTGACTTTTGCCCTCATTTAGTGGGACTGATTGCTTAACTGGAACACCAGGAAGGATAACTTATCCCTCATCCCTCTTCACCTCAGGCAATACATTCACTTGGGAAAATAATTAAGAGAGTCCTACCATCCAGCCCCAAGTCCTGTCGTATGTCCTCACCACCACTGTCACCAGGCCCATATTAAGTTTCTATAGTGAAAATCTAATGTTCTGTTACTTCAGGCCACTTCACATGGATGCTCCACTCCATTCCACTCTGGGTATAGCATTTTTACCATCAGAGTCCAAAATTTTTTTAGGTTGCCAAAAACAAGCAGGATCACATCTGTTTACAAACTCTCCAGTGCCTTGCTAGAGGTCAGAAGGTAAAATTCAAACTATGGACCTTAACCTGCTGGGCCCTGTGTGCTCTGGACCCTGCTTTCCTTTCTACTCTCATCTGGAGCCATTCTTCTCGCATTCACTCTGCTCCAGTGGCCTCCTTCCATCCCAAATGGGCCAAGCTACATCAAACCACAGAAATTCTGAACATTCTCTCCCCAATGCCTGCATTGCTTTCTCCTCTTGCCATTAAAATGTAATTTCTCAAAGGGGATTTCTGGGCCCTCCTCCCATCTATATCTCCAAATGTTGTTCTCTAGGATGCTTGACTCCACTCCATATAATCCATTTGAGCAAAAGTGCTTGACAAAAAAGGAGAAATCAAGTAAAGAAAATGGCAGAGTAGCATAGTAAATATTCAATCTAGATACCATGCTCCCATTAACCTGGCTCCCTGGTGTAATCCACCTTAGTAGGTGAGGAAAGGAAAGAGGAAATGATTCATTCAAGATGCTGTCAACAGTGAGGGCTCAGGCACTAATATTTGGTCAGAGTTTCTGACTCTCCTTTCAGTGTCCCTTCCCAAAGACCCACAGTCATCAAGTGCCTCATTTTTCTGGAGCTCCAAGAAGATACTGACTCTTAGGTTATGGACCCACCTGAATTACTGAACCCAAGAAAGCAACAAAGAAGATACAAGCATTCAATAGGAAAGACTAATCTTTTTTCTCTTTCTCCTCTCCATCATAAAACTCATTCTAAAGCATTCTTTTTTAAGTTTTGTTTTATTTTTACTTGGCAAATAATAATTGTACACATTTGTGGAATATAATGTAATATTTCCATACATAATTGGTCACTTTCCACAGCATTCTTTATCACAGAAATGACTTTGAACCTGTCATATAATATGTATTATTGTATTTATTTTCCTGCTTCTTTCAACTTTCCCAAAATGCTAAGACACACAGTGATGATCTTGAGGTTAAAATAATATTTCTCGGGCTGGGGTTGTAGCTCAGTGGTGGAGTGCCTGCCTCACACATGTGAGGCACTGAGTTTGATCCTCTGCATCACATAAAAATTAAAAAAAAAAATCAAATAAAGGTATTGTGTCCATCTATGACTTAAAATATTTTTAAAAAATAAAAAAATAGGGCTGGGGATGTGGCTCAAGTGGTAGCCCGCTCGCCTGGCATGCGTGCGGCCAGGGTTCGATCCTCAGCACCACATACAACCAAAGATGTTGTGTCTGCCAAAATCTAAAAAATAAATATTAAAAAATTCTCTCTCTCTCTCTCTCTCTCTCTCTCTCTCTCTCTCTCTTTAAAAAAATAAAAATAAAATAACAATAATATTACTCTTAGAATAAAGAGAATACAAACATATACTGCCTATGTGTTCTAGATATTCTATTTAGTTATTATCAGGATTCCTTTTTTGCAGATTATAAGAACAAGGCACTAAGAGGCTAATTATGGGTTTCAAAGTCACACAGTTACTAAAAGAAACAGCTGCTATCATAATTGCCATGTGTTTGACTCAAAGACCTGTGTATGGAACCAAGCACAGAGCCTCCTGTTTCAATATAAAAAGTGGAACAATAGGACCTCCTATACACAAATGATTGAATATGATCTGGTACATCAACTTTGCAAAGAATTTTGGTTACATTTATCTGGTAATGCCTCAAATGGATCCACAGTTATATATCAAGAACAGATGTGCACAAGATCTGTATAAGAGGGGCTGGGGATGTGGCTCAAGCGGTAGCACGCTCGCCTGGCATGTGTGCGGCCCGGGTTCGATCCTCAGCACCACATACAAACAAAGATGTTGTGTCCACCGAAAACTAAAATAAAAATAAAATAAATAAATAAATATTTAAAAAAAAAAAAAAAAAAGATCTGTATAAGAAAGACCTCTGCACCACCTTTTGTAAACATCACAAATTTGAAGACAACTGAAATACCCACAAACAGATCATTCTGGATAAATAAATCATACTCCAATCATGCAGTTGAATACAATATATCAGTAAAAATGAATAAACTAAAGCTACAGCTATTAAAATATAGATGAATCTTAGAAACAAAATCTACATCTAAAAATAAATATTTAAAAAAACTACAAGTTACACAGTACCATCTATTTAAATAGGTTTACATATACTTGTAGACTTTTTTATGAAGTGTTATTAATACATAGATATTTAAAATCTATTCCAGACTTACCTAATCTTTTCACTTGATATTCTCTTGCTATATATTATTACTGAATGTTAAATATACTCATGGTAGGTTATGTTCCTGAATTATTATATCTCAAGATATTTCCTTTATAAAATGTTAATCTATTTTTTGTAAAAATATATAACATTCACTGTTACCAAAAGTAGGCATAATAATTATCATTTATACACATTTTGTCTTAAATTTTGTGGATTGGTTTTATTGCCTTTATTGCTGCAGAAACAAACAAAATTTCCTGTCATTTGCTTTATTCTTCTTATAAAATCATCAGTAATTTTAATTTAGAAAATTACTATCAATAAATTAATCACAGTCATTTTAACTCTCTGTCACCTACAAATAGTTTTTGCTTTACTCTAATGCTTGCCTGAAGACTCCACAATCAGCAACAGGCCTTCAATAAACTAGGACTGTCTTAGAGCCCTGTGGAAATGGATGTCACACAAATGGCAGGTTGACAGATTTGGCCAGTAAAGAAACAATGGGTTTCTTTTGGATTCAGAGAGTGTTTTACTTTTATAGACAATAGCTCAGTGGTAGGGTGCTTTATTAGCATATGCAAGGTCCCTGGGTTTAATCCTCAGTAGTGCCATAAAAATACAAAATAAAAATAAAAGGATAAGTAGCCAAAGGTAATACCCTTTGGCTCAAATGCCAAATATTCTTGTCCTTTGCATTGGGCAAAACAAAAGAGGCCAAATAACTGCAACATGGATGATAGGATATTCTGTTTCTGACGAGTCAAGTTTGTCCCTCACTTAGAGTTTTATAACCTGCAGCTGTACCCCAAATGAATGAGGCAGAAAAAATCACACCTCATCAGAATTCAAGAGGCAATTAGAAACTCTCATGAGTGAATCAAGTGAGAAATGGTGTGGTGATAGCTGCACAGAAAAATGCCATGCTCTCGTGCTCTAGGAGGACCAAGAGGCACTCTTCCAAGATTTGAATGAGCAGTGGTTCAAGCCTTGGCTGGATGGCCTATGCTGATACATGCAAAGTTGTTAGAGTGCTGAAAAGGAGTTATTTCCCCCAAAGGAACTATGCTACTCATGTCAGCTCACAGACACTTGAAAGGACACATTCATGGGTACTGGCTTCTGAAGTTACTAATGGACCATGGACTTGTAGAATTCTTTTTAGTTGAGAAGAAGATGCACTTGGGAAATTGCTAACCCAAAATCCAGCAGAGCAATAATTAACCGCACAGGATTGAACAACCTGATGAAGAATTATTGTATGGTGGTTTGGGGAATATTGTTGATGTTTTAATCTTCTATACTCTGGATATAAAATGCAGCTCTGTCTTTTTTATACTATATTGAACCCATAACACTTTAGTAAACTTGGCATCTGTAAACTGAAATGAAAAATTTGCAAATTAAACTTGTTCTCATTGCCTTTCCGCCCTCTGTAAAATTCAAAAAATTGAAT